ACATAAGTAATACAAATGTATTCTAAACCAGTTACTATTACTCCCACCCTTATGGCTATTCCTGCCAATTAGCAATACAGACAGACGTTAGGTGATGCATTTAGTTAGGTTCGGATTCGAGTGATTCTCATTTATTTAATACATTACAGCCCCAAGTATTCACTGCATGCGTTAACTCCGGTGTTACGTGCTCTCGCCATACACAAATGGTGCGTGCACATGACACTTACTGTGTCCCCATTAATGTTGTGGTGATCACTGAAACGCTGTGAACCTCTTACAGGGCTAAAAATAATCAGTTTGGTGTGTTCCATCAGGGTATAGTGCATTATCCTTTTTTGAATAAAAATACAAGGCATAGAATCGTTTTCCCTTGTTACGCAATTTGAACCCAAAGCCTACTCACGTCATCGATTGAATGGAATGCACTTCTCGGGGGCGAACACCTTCGACTGCTGTTCGACTTCGTCTGATAGGGAGAGAGACGGTTAGCTGACAGATTGATGCAGATGTTTCACAGTTATCCCAACAGAACTGGAAGATTGTCTACTCAGTTTTCATTTAGGGTTTGCTCTGCTCTGCTCTGTGGTTGTTGCATCCGACAAGCCCGTGCTGTGTACCTGACTGGGGTGGTTCCAGCTAACCAACGATATGAACAAACCCTCTTTGTGACTGCTGTTTAAGGGTGATCCGTGGATATAGGTTTGACGTTTTCGTCTCACCATATTTCAGTTAGCAATACTGGAAAGTTGACTGAAGTTCCTTTTATTATCACTAACGGTTTAACAACATGAACCCTGATCAACATTTCAGAACAACTGGCGAATGCGGTCTTTCTGTCGATTCGTCCGAGAACTTTTTATGCGGTATAAGATGCAGTCAACTGTATGACGATTCTTCTTTATCCCTTAGATTTATCCATGGTTGAAATTTTAAAGAAAATAGCATAAAACTAGTTGAAATAATTCATGTGTGAACCATACCCACACTTCCCTAAACGGGGTGGATTTAAGGTTGAATGCCTGATAGTTTCAAATACTCATTGGATTGTAATCGTCAACCGCGGATGCGTGGAATAGTCATATTCTCTTCGCCACGGTGACAACAAAACAGCATATAGTTAGTAACCGGTTTACCTGATACAACTCAGTATAGGTGTAAGTCCAACCGTCGGAACCCGTCTCGGTCGCTAAATTTGGAGGTCATCATCATCATCATCATCGCATCCAACCTTTTTATTGAACCGCTGTTCAAGCAAATAATCTATAGTTGCATATATATATATATCCAGTGATGTTGAACGCAATCGTTAGAATACAATGTAAATTTATTCGCATCAAGCCAGTGAAATACAAAGCTGTATCGAGCTTGGGCATCTCCAAGCTAAACGGGATCGGTGGTTCCCGGAATTCGCGTTGCCTCGCTCCATTTGCCTAATAAGATATTTCTATCATTATTTTCCCTATCGCGGTCACTCATATCGCTCTGTATCGGGGACGACTGTATTGTAGACTGAGTTTTTCTCAATGAAAGACAAGGACGTTTTAATTGGCCCGAAAAATGCATAATGCATCTGAATGCTTTTTTCGCATACGTCACAGCAGTGCACGCGCATAGTCTAGGCCATAAAACCAAAGATGGCTATTCACGGCCACTGGATTTGCACATGTCAGTTGCTCATTTTGCTGATCTTGTAACTGTGTGAATGAATGCAAATTGTGAATGCCAAATAAAACCGCTTTTGTGAAATCGATTGAACTCTTTGGTGCACTGTTCACCGCTAGAGATCACAATCTATTTGGTCAGCTGAATATCAAAAAACCCGACGGGAACAGAGCTCTTGTTATTGTTGTGTTTGTTGTTGTGTTGTCTGGCACACAACAGTAGTAGAGATGCAGGTTGCCAAGTAGTCACGCTCGTGGCGTCCAAGTTGTCATGAATTAGGGAAACTGCAATATCGTAACTTGTATTCAAACAGGCCAGCTGTGGTGGGACCACTCAACATAGTTCTCCATTATCCTGCCAGGTCCTAAAATCAGTCTATTGAATCCCAACTTACAAAACGTTCAAATGGACACGTCTGTTACTTCCGATTTGATTTTGACTCGATTACTCAAAACGATATATCGCCCTTCAGTCTGTTCTATCCACAAGCAAAATCGAGGTTTTGGAAATTTGGTCAGCTTGCTGTCTGACGAAAAAAATTGTTGTAGGTACAGATTTATTTCCCTAGCCCTGAGTGATATCTTGACGATGCATTACATTGCTGAGAATTGAATAAATCTCAGAAAATTAACAGGAGGTCAAACCAAAGTTTTCAAGGTTATAAAACTTGCTGACCTTATATTGACAATTTTATTCACTAATTGAGTTATCCCACTATATATGTGAAGGACCGATACATATTAGTAAAATTTATTAGGAACCTTGTTACCACTAATGGTTTTCTTCTGCCAGGGCGCTTAGTTCTCATGTAAGTCCTGTTTCGTTGTCGAAATTAACCAAAT